GAACGTGTGACGCGGCTGCCCCACCAAAAACAAACATGCTGCACCCACGTCGGTGCAGTTGTGTGCCTCGTCACTTAGGGCCGTTGATCCATCGGTTGAGCTTGTGTTTGCGCAGTCAGCTCACCACCGGAGAACGCCCACGCTGATGGCGGTGCTTTGAAACCCGTTGCGTGGATGGATTAAAATAACTGACTCCTCAAATGTTGCGGGTTAGGATTCTGCAGCAGCAGCTGAAGTTACCTGTCCCCACTGCGGGATTATGAACACATTCAGAAGCTCGCAGGCAAGTGGGCAATCCAGAAAATGTACTGTCTCATGTAATCAGCTTTGGGTAGACAAAGCGAAAGGTTAGAAGAGAATTAGGCGCATTGAGATTTCGCTGTTCTTCCTCAGAACCATCCCGGTGTCTTCCCAGCTTCTGTCGAAGTTTTAAAATGCCTGAAAGGTAGAGTTGCATTCATTCTCAAAACCCTGCTGAACTGTCTCCTGAATATCAAAAGCCTATCGTTTTGTAGAAGAAGGCTCTAACCTCAACTCGTAGGTGATCATTTGATCACTGTGCCTGTTCATCTTTGCATTGTTTTTTTTTGGCTACCGCAGAGCTATTTTAGTAGTACAAACGTAACCTCTCTTGGCGAAGTCTTTTCCGTCCGTTTGTTGTTGTATTAATCTGCGGAGTTACGGGCTCCTGTGTGCAGCGTATCGGCAGAAGTCTTGCGATCATTCTGCGTAAGAAAAACCTGTCTTAAAAGTAGGTTGCTACTAGTCTTTTTTGCCACTGTCGAACACCCACGTTCCTGTGGCCTAGGACCTTACCTAGTCATCCACCAACTGTCGTAGGCCAGAACCTTCACTTTCCGGCCTCCTAGATGTCCGCTGCCCTATATTATGAGTAATACAATAATAATACTACTAACATCACAGAATGGAACCTGTTTGCCGCATGGCTGCGTATCTGTTTTATCTCGCTGTCCTTCGTAGGCTTCCCTTTTAAGTAGGAAAGTACAGTTGGTTAGTTTCTATAGGTGTCTTCTGTTTCCTGTTTGCAAAAGGCTTCCCTAAACTACTATTAAATATAAATTTTAAGGGGGGAAACCCCGTGCATGTTTTGAAACACGTAATACGCTTTTTGTGAAATGTGGAAGCTCCCTATGCAACAAATGCCCTTCTTACTTGCCTTGGTCCAAACGAGTCCTCGTAGGAGAACGCTAAAACCCTCAGCAGTTCTGGCTAAAGCAGAGCCCTGAACTAGTGGCTGCACATGGGAACATCACTGCGACCTGATAAAGGAGCCTGCGCGAATTCACGACGGCCTTAGCGATAGCTATTTCGAGCGTTTATGCAACTGCACAGTCGGCGAGAGGTGAACATCCCTGTAATTTTGCCTTCAGGCGTCAGAGCCACTAAGTCCTGACCTGTTTGATCCGGACCCGAAGAAGACACGCGCCAGTTTTTGGTGCCGTAATCATCAGCGCTTTTTCGGCTGTCAAATGTGCACCCTGACTGGTCCTTCTTCTCAACTCATAGTTCTTTTTGCAGTAGCAAAACAAGCTGTTAGAGAGCGAAAGATAGACCGACGATCCAATCACTGTGCGAGTGAGCCAGAATTTCCACCAATCTCGGGGCACGTTAGACTGGCCCACACAGTAGCCTCTCTGTGCCAGAAAGTCTCTCCAGTTTCGCATTCGACTTTGCTGCAATCTTGTCGTCGGTGTGGGGTTCGCCTACTGTCGCCTAAGAAGTTGGAACAGAATATACCAAAAGCAACCCGTATACTGAACAAGGTCCTGTCGAGTTATAGGAATGTTGTCGGCTTGTGATGGTAAGCCCAAGATCCTCAGTGCAGACGTCAATGAACGAGACATTTCGGAGTTTCTCTACATTGTCTGCCAGGCGTACTCCGCCTACAAAGACCCCGAGGACATGTGCACTGCGATCAAGCAGCGATTGGACGAGCAGTTCGGAAAACCCTGGCATGTTGTCGTCGGGCAACCCTTTGGCGGGTAACTCTTTTCCTGTTCCTAGTAACACCTTAGTGCCTTCATTGAGTATATGAATGATGTTAGGAGCGCCCCCTAACACTGTATATTCCCGATCGAAAACCGACAGGGCAACGGGCTCGTGGCCCGGTGAGTAGAGGCGTTGACTTCTAAACCAACAGGTGGCGAGTTCGAGGCTCGGGTGTTCCACACTTCGGGCATGGGTATGGCTGGCTGACGACGGCTAATAAGCCAGAAATGGCCATTCCAGTCTCCCTTGTCTTTGTCGGTAATATCATTCTGCCTAAAGAAACTATTTGAGCCGAGGCACAGCTGGACATTTTTGGTGTGAGTTTTCTACCGATACACGAAACATACATGTGACTAACTTTTATCCCGTCTACCTGCACGAATCAATACTCCTACCCACTTTTTAATGGGGCATTGGTATGTTGGACCGACCGATGCACTATGGGGGAAATGAGTAGGATGACCCAATAAGACCCCCTGTAGTGTTACCAGGGCCGATCTGCTGGTGGTAGACGACCTTTCGTCGAAGAATCTAAGCAAGGTAGATGTCATTCTTGCTGCCATTGCGGGAGCCTGCGGGTTGGAAGGTCCACTTGTGTTTTCTTTCCCGTCGGTAGAGTATCATGACGAGGCCAGTACTGCTTTTTTCATATATTTCTTATAAGCGCTTGATGTGAAAGGGGTTTGGTCGGACACGGCATTATTAGCTTCCCCTACTGCATGCGGTCTTGCGCTCAATTCCAAGATTTTCCTATTCTCGTGTCCGCTAACCCCTCTTGGAGTTTAGGTCAGAACACCTGTAATGCGGAGAGGTCCCGTACCCATCCTGGAGTTTTACTCAATGGCAGTAAATTCCTCAATTTTCCGCTTGAAAGTGTACTGTTGATATACAGTGGATGTTCTACCTCATGAGATGTTAACCGAAATCCCAAAATTTATTTTCGATTCAAAAAGATTACTTGAGTAGGCTTGTAATATTAATTATCTTTCAGCATAATCGTAAGGTAGTTTAGTTACGCCAGGATGTCGGCATGTCAATTCTACAAATTCTGCATTCTGTACAATTGACTACTCAAATGAAATGAATTTTCATCCGTTATTTTCGATGCTCTTATAAATTCAAATACATTATATAGAAAACATGCATATAGGTATTCCCTCTTTGTCTCATCCGGTAGCAAATTACGTCTTCAACTTTTTTTTACTGAGAGAGTATATTTAGACTTTAAAAATGTATAATTGTGAATGTAGAATTCTTGGTAAATTGAGTCGCACGTATAAGCAAAAACAGATTTCGGTGTATATACGGCACTATTGATAGAATAAGGTAATGATAAAAAAAAACGTACAAACCTCAACAATGAATACCCTAGACAAAGAATTCGTTTGTTACTATTCGAGCAAGTCGAATTTTCAGCTCAAGGTCAGAATACAAAAACTAGTTAATTAAAAGAACGCCGATCGCGCTCGGAAGAGGGTTACAAAAAGGGGGAAGGGGAATGTCAGCAGGGGTCAGATGTGGAAGCACTTGCGAGGAGGACGTCGAGAATTCCAAGCGTTGACTAACTAGATACAACAATGAGATTTTTTAAGATCATGAGATGTCCGTCCATATGGCATCGACCAGCACGTCCATTAATGCTACTTTTAACGTATACAACCTGATCTATATCCATTACACAGTCTACGAACCGCATGACATCTTCCTAACGGTGTATAAGCGTGTGATATTCCTTTGACAGAATGTGTACAACATGTAATTTGGAAACCCCGAACTCAGGTGTAACGGCAGACGGAGTGTAAAATTACTCGGTAATCGAAGAACTTTTTGCAAGCCGGAAATTTAAAGACGTAATTTACTCCAAATGAGACAAAGGATGAATGTTTATGTGCATGCTTTCTACCTAATATATTTGAATCTATAAGGGCATCTAAAATGACTACCTAAGTAATCATTTTCAGGGTGTAGATTTTGCACGCGGCTGAAAGGAAGGTAGTTCAGCACATTTGAAACTGTTGCTCGATAATTCATAGCACAGCCCGACTTAAGTAATTTTTTTTCGAACCGAAAGCATATCCCAGAATTTCGGTCAAAACTTCATCAGATAGCACATCCACTATATGTGTGTGGAACAGGTTTTCGCCTTCACCACTACACGGTGATACACCAGCATTTCAATAAAGGCACTTTCAGACAGCTTTGCGGAATGCGCCATTCCTGCTGTTTTTGATTTTTGTGGAACTATCTGATTTATTTAGTCGCATACATCGTCTGAGAAACATTTTTCTAGAGCACTGTGCGCGCAGTAAATTCTTGGTTTACACATCCAAAGGTGGATAACATGCTTTGATTACCTTTGGAAGGCTACACGAATGTCCTTTTCGGGCTTATTCGTTATTGCCAGCCATCGGTGCTCTCAAGTCCGGACCATTAAGACCCGAGATCTTAACCTCATGCTCAGCCATTCCCACCACGGGGTCACGCTCTCTTACCTGTGGTGAAGAATTTTCCAACTGACTTAGACGCTTATGCATCCTACCGGAAGGCCATCGTCCCCTTCCCCCTGGAGCCCCGATCCCGGAGGTGGCACTCGAATTTGAGTGGCGGTGAGCAAATAATAGCCCAAAAAGTGTCGTCGACAAAACTCAGGGTGGTTACAATGGCTGTTGCTGTCTTGTTGCGTAATCAGCCAGACAGGCCGCAACCACATGTTGGAACTCTGGACCGCGGTTGCATTTGAACATTACAGCTAAATTATGAACTCTTCTTAACTGGGGTGGGGTGGTTTAATTTTGTCAAACCCGACAGCCTGTGACAGTCAAACGCATCCAGAGCCCAGAAAGTGCAGTTGCCTCACGTGAAATTTTCGGGTGTTAAAAACATTATCGGAAGAAAGCTGCCGTTGTAGCTAGCACATCTTTCGACAGCTGGAATGTAGATCCTTAGGTTTATTACTAAATTATAATTTTTTGCAAGACAGCTATCTACCAGAATTTTTTAAATCATGGGACGTAATAGACCCTAAGTGGCATGAAGGTCGTATGGAAGGGACTTGTCACGTTCTGTTGCGATTTTTATTTGAAGCCCCAAGTTGAGTGCCACTAAAATCGGGCGAATATTTGCGTAATGTTCCCGCCTGCACACCTAGAAGCTTGTAATGGGCTTCGTTCATAAAAAAATAGTTTCACATTGCTTGCAGCACCTTTATTACTCAGACGCACATCTTTCGCCGGTTTTTTGTGACTGCATGCTGCAATCGCAAGTCGTCCCGTTACGCAGACATGGCCTTGTTTCGACAGACGCTATAATAGAGAGGTCCTGTGGTTGTGAGAGCCCGGGTCCCAACGAGACGCATCACTCTCAATTGGACATCTCTACAGCTTCGTAATCAAATGCTTGCATCAGGACACACACAGATACTGACGACAATCAAAAGCCAGGCCCCGGAAATCCTTCTGTTTCTTGTTCCACATTAAGGCCGTTTCTATGCGCACGGCAATGTCCCTCAGCGGGGGTTTCTGGGAAGCGGTTTGGGGATGACTATCCATCGCTTACTCATGCTACTCAACGGGTTGACTACCACTTTAGGCCTGTGGTCCTGAGCAGACCCGAACATACTCATCCATGTGGCTTTGACTGTGTACAAGTACCCAGGGAGCCGATTGTAGAATGGCGGGGGGGGACGGTATAATGGAAGCGTGGCAATCCGACGTGAAAAATTTGACACTGGCCGTTTTTTCCACTTTTCTTAAAAACACTGATAATTCCTATGCTGCAAACGAAAAAAAACTTGCTCTCCTGATTGCATTATAGCTGTTCCTGCTATCTTTACGCATTTCTACGCCACGTCCCACGATTACGAATGCAAAAAATGGATCATATAAATACTGACATATTGCACAAACTCTGCATGTTTTGCCTGTTCCGTTTCTAATTTATGCACAAGCAGATACCGTACAGCGCAAAACGTGTTGAAAATTTAAAATGGTCATTCAATTGTGATAATTTTGACAGTCACTCATAATGCATTCGCGAAGGGCGCGACAGTATCGGCACGTTAACACAAAGGATTGTAAGTAGGCGTTATTACTACACATCAGGGCCAGGAATGGCACAGGTTTGCAAATCTGGCTGTTCTAAAAATAACCTGCGTTAGTCTCACAAAGAATCAATTTTCATCTGCGACAAATCCTGTTTGGTAAAACTCTCCAAGCAAAATTTGTCTCCTCTTAAATAGAAACATATTCAGACGCGCAAACTAAGTCTAGTACTTAGGAAATTGCCCGAGTATTGGGTGACGTAGATTCCCCCTAAAACTCTTGTGAATTTTGCGTGATCAAACTACTTAGACGCATAGGCCATACGAAAAACAATTTGCGAAAAATGCTGAGTGCATAAGCAAAATGTACGTCATTTTAGGCGCCTGAAAGTGTCATATCAGTTAACACCATCACGAAAAACACATCGAAGATTGGAATGGCCATTTCTGGCTTATTGGTCGTCGTCAACCAGTCATACCCAACCCCGAAGTGTGAAACACCCGAGGCTTGATCCCACAAACTGTTGGTTAGACGTCCAACGCCCCGAACCACTGAGCCACGGGCTCGTTGTCCTGTCGGCTGTGATCGAGTATGTTAACAATCGTAGGGGAGCGCTGATCAATTGCGTTATGGAACTCAATCGTCCCGTTGTGCCTTGCGGCTCTCTCTCGAGCTCCGTCAGTAGCCGCACAGCAGCTCGTAATATAGACATTACCACATTGCTTCCATTTGCATTATGTTTGCCTACTTTTAGGCTCCGTTCTCAGTTTACGAATGCACAAAATAATGACCTTATAAATACTGACATATTGCAAAAATAGTGAATGTTTTGCTTGTTACGTTTCCAAATGACGTATAAGTAAAAACCGTACAGCGCAGAGAGCGTCTTTCCGTATGTTCAAAATTAAAATTACCATTCTATGATGGTTATTTTCACGATCACTCATAACGTATTTGCAAATGGCGAGACAATATCGGCAGAAATTTTTACTGCACTCCAGAGCACAGATTTGCAAATCCGATTTCTAAAAATCGACAAAACCTCTGGTTTCCCAAAAATAACCTGTTTATTCGCAATCTGGTCTTTAGGGTTATTCTCCTAAACAAGCTGTTTGGTAAGATAGTCGAAGCTAAATTACTCTTCTCTCGATGAAAAATACTCCAGGGTGCTCGAACAAAGTCTGGGGACAGCTATTAATGTAGGATTTTGCCCGAATATAGGGTAACGTAGATTTCCGCCCAGGTCTATAATCAGTTTGACTGTCAAAATTACTCATACGCATATTATACACGAGAAAAGGACATTTCTGGAAGAGACTGGAAGAATAAACAAAGTGCACAGCGTTTTCGGCGATGGAAAATTTTATTAGTCCCCGTCATCGTGTTTACACAATAGGATGTTTGTTTTTCATCTAGTTCTCCATCTCTCTCTCTCTCCTCTTTAGGCATTTCGACCACGATCCAGGCTGTTACGCCTACATCCAGTACAGGGAGCTTTCCTTCCTCATGTTCCGATTTGGCTAGACCTTACCTTGTGAAACTATCATCCTTCATATAAATTGTTTTTGTACAACCACAAGCGGCCATTTCCCTGGTCCTCAGATTTGTATTCCACCTGCTTATTGTCTCCATTTAATAAATTGCTCCTTCATTTTCCTCCTAGACTTTGATACTCATTCGTCATGTGCTTTTTTTACCACTGAGCTCAATTTCACTGCGATCGTCTTGAATCATGTGCTATAGGACAGGAAATACTACTTAATCAGGGTATGATGCGCCATTTCTGATCTGAAAATCTGTCGTGAAATCTTCACGGGCACTTTGAAATGCGTTTCCACCCAGGTAGGAGTATCCAAGTTGAGTCGTTATACTGATTATCCTGCGGCATAATCCAAAGGTGTTGCAGTCACGCCGGGGTTCCGACCTCTGGATGCGCTTCTTGTCGGCCGCGCGCGAAAACCACGCTTGACAAGAATGGCCGCTCAGGTAGTATGCACTTTCTCCATTGGTTTCCTATGCCCTTATCAATTCAAGTTTTATTGTAAGACGCGATCGTATCTGCCCCTTACGAAGCATACAGCATGGCCCATACCTGTTCCATAATCGCAAGATTTCTATATGGTATCATCCTAATAGTGCAGATGCATGAGTGATTTTTCTTTCATTGAAAGTCTGCAACATGTCCGAGGGCCTTGAGCGCAGGTTTTGCGAGAGGTTGGATTTAAAGTAATTCGGCAATTAGAAAACCTGGAATCCGGAGGGTGCACTCAATTCGAGCATAGCATTTAAAGAAGACCTGGTTGACTACGAAAAAAACTGAAATAAAAGATATTAGGCACGCTTTCCATAAAATAACTTTTGAATTTAGGAGACAACGCAGATCAATGGAGAAATGCACGCTACTCATGCGATATCTTGCAGGCGGCCGAAAAGGGGCCTACTCCCGTCCTGACTAAAAATATTGGGACTATACTACACGATAATGAACCTTACAACCCCACTTAGGTGCTGTAACGTTTCTGATTCTATCGCGAATTTCTGCGGACACGCTTACTCAGTTGGTTTGCGCGGTTCATTTTATACACGGGACGTTACTGGCCATGCTTTTACTTAAATATTATTGTTACGATGTCTGGGCTGAGAGCCAGGCTGCAATGGCTCCGTCACAACGTGACTTAGGGCACTCTCGGCCGGGATAGCCGCTATTTGTTGGTTAAAATCGTGGTCATTTGCTGTGTTTACCAGAGGGTGTGGAGCGGAGCGCCAAGTTGCAGACTTGACCGTGCCATCCACCTGCGTCCTTTATCGCTTCTGGTCTTCATGACTGTCTGGGCACCGGATCCAGGTGAGGGAGGAAGACGGAGTGAGGTAGATGCTGTGCGTATCCAAATTCACTACAGACATCTCACCGTCCCTGCTCTAATCTTTCCGTGGAGCACACGGTGGACATCGTCGACAACGACGGTCGAACTGTCATTACAATGTGTACTGTATTATCTATTAAATAAAACTCATACGCAACACGTGCGCCGCGTGACCTAACTCTTGAAATGTGTCGAAATTCACGAATTACTGCTGATCACTCGCAAGCCGACACCAATGCATGAGCCCACATTTATGTTGGTAAATAAAAACTTTGGGGGAATTAAAAAGACGATAAGCGTTGAGGGTAGTGTTACGTTGTTTAAAAATACCAAGTTTTTTGAAAAGTGGGAAATCCCGAAAACGTCGAAAATTGTTTTAATTGTGTAAACTTCAGTTTTCGATGTACAGGAAGCCTGTCTATGACAGTATAGATAGAATAACCTCTAAAAATTATCTCTTAGTGAAGTTTACAATTAAATATCCATTAAGAAATAGTGTGATTTCATGCATGGCAGTTTGTCAACAACCTAACGTATTATATAAGTGGTGTGTTTATATTCAAGTTTTAAACGAATCTTACCTGACCTCGGAAAGAATATGAGGGGTTAATCCCGCATTAGTGTGCAGTGAACGTTTATAAGAGTATAGAAAGGTTTATAAGGGCTTAAAATGCAAAAAACAACCATAAAGCGTATCGTTTTTATTTCTTGGATCTTCACTTCTCGCGGGGATTTCTGGAACACGACCTCCACGGTCAAGGAGGGATCACTGTAATTTTCCCTAGTCGGGAACACATTTCAGTATTTCGAGAAAAATTTCCTTGTACGACAACTACTTTGTTTGTCACTGGCTTTTCAAATGACAAACCGGAGTCAACGACTAAAAAAGTAAGAACGAGGTATTATTTTCCCGTATAATTATTTTACGGAAAAGCTTACTCCTTTGGGTGCCGAAATTTATATCAGGGAATATTTTCATTCTAAAAAATTACAACTTAGACACGATCGTTTAGTTGTACTTATGTCGGCAAGTCCAGGGTTTTTTAAAATTAGTTATTCCCCTCGCTGCGGTAATTACGTGGATACCACTGCTCGGAGGCTACGACCGACTCCGCATCGGTATCGTGAAACGACCGATGCCGGATCTACTACATAATTGTGTGCTTTCTCACTGGTGGTGTCGACAAAAGTGGCCTACAGCTTTCTCGATCGGTCAGGTCTCCTTGTTTCTATATACCGCGGTTCACATTGTCAATCCTTTCTTTCCAGCGGCTAGCCCAGCTGTATCGATGAATGCCTCCGCAGGGCCCGGCATGCATTTCGGATTATGAATTTGTAGCGGTCAAGGATGGCACACATCGAGGTAGCGAAACACTGGGAAGAGATCCTGGCTAAGATCGATCAGAATGGAGCTGCTAACATGTGGCAATGTTCATCCATACTCAGTGGAAGAAGAAACGTTAAATAGGCTATAAGTTATAATTGGAAGAACCGGGAACTGGGAATACTTACAGCGAGTGGCCGATCGCATGAGATGTTGGCTGGAATTCTGAAATGCATTTTTGATTAGGAAGGATTACTTAGGCGCGGTCGTAATAATAATTATCTTGCGGCATAATGCTGTAATATTTTTGACTCGGCAGGATGCCAGCTTTTGAAGACATTGCTTTTCAATCTCCTGTAGAAACTACACCTGGCAAAAAATGACTACTTAAGTAGCATGCATTTTACCCATTGATTTTTGATCGTATTGCAAATCCAAATATATTTTATGTTAACCATGAACAAAATATGCTTTCTTTCAGTCATGTGATAGAGAATCACGTCATCTTTATATTCTACACTCGAATAAGGTGTATAATTAGGTTTTGAAATAGTTCCTAATTATGAGATTTTTTAAGACCGGGCAATATCCATTAATATAGCATCGTACATGTCCGTTTACCACTGCTCCTCATGAAACGTACATTACAGTCCGCATCCATTGCAAAATTTTATGGACTCTATATTGTACCTTTTTAAAGGCATAGAATTATAAGCTATTTTCTTTACGCGGAATGCATGCATCTTGTAGAGCAAAATCATTAAACGCTAATGCGACGACTGATCAGGCTCCAAATTATTCGGGAATTAGAAAACTTTTTTAAAACCTAATTATACTCCTTTTTCGAGTATAAAATATGAGGTTGACGTGATTATCTATCAAACGAGCAAAAAATGTTTTGCACATGTTTTTAATAAAATATACTTGAATTTATAAGGCCATCTAAAATCAGCGTGAAAAATGCATGCTATCTGTGTAGTCATTTTCAACCGAGTTCGGTTTCTACAGGAGATTTAAAAGCTGTGTATTCAAAAGCCGACATCGTGCCAAGTCGGAAATATTATAGGATTATGCCTTAAGATAATCAGTGTTACAACAGCGCCTGAGAGATCCTTACTAATAGAAAATGCATTTCATAATTTCAGCCAACATTTCATGAGTAGTTATTGTACAAACGGGACGAGTTACAGCAGGGGAGTAACCTGCCTGGATGATGAAGCGATGCTGGAATGCCGGTTAAATAAACGGTGGGGAACGCAGCGCTACGGGCAACTGCAGGGGAGGCGCCGATCTTGAGAGGGCGAGAGAGCGTACGATGCGAGCGTTGCGGGAAGAGGGTCGGCGGTAGAGCGGGGAAAGAGCACCGGACGTTTTCACTGACACGCAGTTACGCCATCTCCATTCTAGATCCGCGCGCCAAAAGTGTCTCTTCATTCAAACAATCCCATACAGATCGTGGTGCGTTACAAACGGCTTATCCTAATCGCAGCCAATACGTCTCACCGAAGGACGAAGGTGCAGGATAAACTTATCTGTCTTGGATCTGATCCAGTCTTGGAACTGTCAGTTTTGCAGATGCAATTTATATGCTCATCCTCGAGGTGCCCTCAACTGCTTTGTCAACACGATACCCGAGTCCAGTCTCTTGTCGTTCAAACGCAGGTTTCTGCTCAAATATGTGTTTCTGTAATTAAATTTCAAATAACGTTCAGAGAAACGGCGGTATTAGCCATGTTTGAGTCAAAATAACCAAGACCGTCTGCCCGTCCATAGTCTGCATACATCCTACATGCCTGCCTCGTGATCCTCAATGTCTTCATCGGCGTCTCCAGAGTGCTCAGAAATGGAGCTATCAGTACGGTCTTGGCGTCTGAGCATCCGGTTAGACAAGCGACTCAGAAGAGATTCGTCTGATCGACCTCCCGACGACTGAGGTCTTAGCCATTGAGTATCGTTTTCACTCACAGTTAACGTTTTCGGGTGTTGACTGCTCAACCAAGTCAATGCTATCAATCCTGTCTTCTTTTGTCGCCATTTACTCATTTATCCCTGCTCGTCCATCGTACCCTACGCCGTCATTGTCGGGAAGGCAAGGTCAGTGACTCAATAAAGCATTAATAGTTCTACTCTTGAAAAAATGGTAAAAAAATTAAATCTGAAGTTACGTCGACGTGACGTTTGCGTATCCAGTAAGACTGTCACATCGGTCTGCAGTTGCGCACACTGTACCTCAACATACGGCGCAACGGAAGTGCTTTATTTCTATCCAATGACTGGCAGCATGCTTCTGAAATATGAAACGGTGTTTGAGCAGTCTTGATCGACTTGTAGAAAGG